TTAAATCTATTGACTCCCAATAAAATGTGATATATTGGTACCTGCCTCTACCTTTATGCTTGTGTTTGAAAATGACAAAGGTATCCTGGCAAACTAAGAGGAACACTAGCACTTATGTTGCAGGGGTGTACATAAGCAAGCTGGTACCTCATTATGATCTCTCCAACATTTTGAACCTATGAGTTATTACAGCATGCAATTAATCAGTTGAATGTCATTATATCAGCAATTCATTTTAGCAGTAGGGGCTGGTGTGTGCAGCTCATTAATGGACATACTCAATATAGGCTCACATTTTATGGTCCTGCAAAATTGTCTTTCCCTAAATAATTTCAAAATAAAGAGCTGTTTTGCTACTGATGCGCATTGTACTGCGTTCACAAATTTGGTATGCAGACGAGCATTGCTAGTGAGTCATCAGTATCATAGTCACTGCAACTTGCGTGAAATGCTGGGCGCTGAGAAAGGTGGAACGGTACTGTTATTGGTGTCATGGATAGCACTTAATAATTTTTTGTCATGAGCCTTGTGTGCACTGGCAGCTTCAACACTTCCTTGTATTTTGCTCATCCAACCATAACTGCATCCACTTGCCATGTATACAGCTTTGTGCAAGGTCGGCATGTTTGCAGTGGCATTTCACTACATGTAAAATTTTCCTGTTATTTTTTAGTAAAGCAGCCTGATGGCTGAAGCATGTGGCATGACTGTGGAAGTGAAAGGTATGCTCGCGTCTTTTTCACCTAAGTTCCAAAAATAGGCTGAGCAAGTAGTGCCACTTATTGGTTGTCTGCTTTGCTGAAAGTGATTTGTATATTGCATCATGTGTTTTTGGTCATTCAGATGTCAGGTGGGGAGTCAATACAAGAGGGCACACTTGACCCATCTTTTCATGATCAAATTTATCATGAAAGCAGCAATGATTGCAGTGCAAGCACCATGTCGTTGTTCATTACGTCATGCCACAGTACAGCACTGAAGTAGTGTCGCAATGAACCTATTGGCCCGTGCCATTACACAATATACCACATTGGTTGACCACTCTATGTCAAGCCTATAAGACAGCAGCTTATAATCTATGAATGATTGGCAACAACTGATTAAACAACGCCAAAGGACTTTTAACAGCAAGAATGTCGTTGCACCACAATGGTTACATCAGGGTTAACCATGAATTGCATGAATATTCCGAAGCAAAAAAAAAACATTCTTGGTAGCCCAACCTTACCATTTTACTACAGCGATGCATTGAGAACCAATTCATAGCAACTTTACAACTATATCAATTTTCGCATGACACCGCATTGCCAGTTACAAACAATAAAGAAAGTAACTACTGCGCAGATTACATGATACCAATGTCAGGACAACAGCACTGCAGGCAACGATGGGTCGACAATAAAGTATTGACAAAATAATCAATAGCATAGCAGCAACAGCAGCAGCGCAGCATATCGTGCTTTGATATTAGTAATCTGCCATAAAAACTGGCGATCGCTACGTTGCGTATGTCAAACAGTCCACCAAAGCTTTTCTTACGGCCAGCACCACGACAAAAAATCCACAAACGAACTGCTCACCAATCCGCAACCCGACGCAGCCCCCGCGACGAGAATGACCGGTTAGCGTCAGCTTTCGTGTGTTTTGAGGTATTCTTTAGGCCTGGCTGTCAAATACTGCCAGGTATTGCTGTCGTCACAAAACCATTCCATAACGACATCAAACAATGACGTAATCGGGCTCATTTTTACAAACTTTGAAATTTTGCCAACTAGCGTCGTTTTTGAACCTTGAAAGCGTACCAATAGTTACAAGTGAGCTTTTCCCATCATATCTGATGCCTTCCTCAATATCTTCAAATGTGGAACATTCCCTTTAAATTGTGATATTTTGTCCAAATCTTCTATGTATCGATAGCAGACCCTCCCGGATACTGTTATTTTGCACGCCCCTGGTTCTGAGCCGTGACAAATATAAAGTTTAAAGCTCACCTGAAGACGGCATGTTTGTCATCATATAGTGAACTTTGCCGCCTACTTATTTTATGTCTTTGTTTGAAGCTTTTACACCCCAATCATTATCGGAAAATAGTGATAACTTTTGGAGGTAGGATGATATAATGCCCCTGTTTTTTTTCTATTCCTGATAATGTTTCCACTATTAAAAAGGCAATCGTGTCTAACTAGTGGAAAAGTTAGGTGCAGGCATTGATAACCATTTGTGCTTCTAAGTGGTGCAGATAACCATTCTAAGTTTAAATGCGTAGGCTTTTTTACAATTTTTTTGCAAGTAAGTTTAAATGGTGCAAATAACAATTTGTGCGTTCTAAGGCCACTTTTGTCAGACTGTAAAACTGGGTTTTAGAATTCAGTGTTTAATTGATTTTTTTTAACTGAATGACTCATTCGGTTTTGAAGATGTGAATTAGAAGATGATCTTCGAAATGATGACCTCAGTTCGAAATCCCATACAAATGTGAAACACTCCCTTTAGGTCCTTTCGATCCTCTTCCCAATCCTCCCATGCATATAAGCAAAAAAGGAGAATATTGGGCGCATGGAATGCAGCTAGTATCTGAACTGATGGTTAAGCAAATTCTGAACGTATCGCTATATATATCATCACCTTCATATCTCATTTTTATCACTATCACATAGGCTGCAAAATGGGAGTCATTTCTCAACACAAAAACAATTTTAGGATTAACCAAACGTTTCTTTTTTATTTCGATTTTGCATCATTGACGTAAATCAAAGTGACAGAGATCTTGGAGAAAAATAAGCATTTTGGGGAAGTTAGCTCAATTTTTTAATCCTAGTCCTAGTCAATCGTTGTTCCGGAGCAACACTTAAATTCTTGACTATGTCCTCTGATCAACTAAAGGGTGCCGGCAACACGAAAAGTGAGATTTTATATTTACTTGTCTAGTCCCACCACCAAATTTCGGCAACGGTTCACGCTGCCGTGAATGCTAATTCGCTCGTACTTATATACTACTTAGTACTTAGACTATTTGTATATACTATATATATATATATATATATTATATAAATATATATACATATAATATAGACTACTGTAATAATCAGAACTTAGACTTATATAATACTTAGTACACAAATAACCTACATTGCGCATGACAATGACATTATGGTGTTTCAGTTGCCATGCATTCAAAATGAGGCGGGTCAGGGCCGCTTTCCCGTCAGTGACATGACATGACATGTCAGCGACATGACATGGCGACACGACAGTTTGGAACAGTGTCTCCCGGACGTACAGCTTACCTGAATCGCATTACATGTTTGATGATGTGAGCGGAGAAAGGTGTGTTCAAGGGAAGGCATGTGCCTCAAGGCCTTGGTGAAAGGTTGAGAACCATTTTTCTGGAATGATGCCTGGAGGAGTGCTTCTGTTTTGTTTTGCAGTAACTGACATGCATATGTTTTATCGATGCAGTTCTTGCATGGCACAAGCCTTCGTGTATACGGGAGGCGATGCCAAATACTTCATACACACTGCTCTTGTGGAAACATAAATAAATACACAAAAATTACCAGAGCACAGAATGGTAAGATGATCGCATATTCCTAGTCTAGTATCTATTGCGAGATGAATACCGCCATCTAGCGTTATTCGCGACACCACGCCTCCATGGCTACATATTGCTAGCCATCGCAGTGGGGCTTTGTAACGGAACGACAGGTGCCAATAAGTATACGACCGAACGATTTTAATAAATGTAAATCCCTGTCACAAATAGCTGAATGTACGACTAGCATAAAAACGCGTACCAAGACAAAGATTATGCACGGACTTGCAAAAGTGTCATCGACATGAAATGGGGACATCATGTACATGCAGAAGTTTGGCATCAACACCCTTGTAGCCATTATCCATCTCTTGACTCCAGTGACAGCCGGCGGCGGGTGGTGCAGCTATCCGTTCTTGCAATGTATTCTTGGGCACAAGATGGAGCGCCACCCTTTGCATACAGTCAGGTTCTAATGTGTTGCAGTGATTGGGGAAGTAGCATTTTCCATTGAAATGCTCTGAAGGGAAAGTGTGATCAGTTTTTACAGCTGGTGCGTGATGGATATTATCAAGTAAAGAATATATAAAGTATATGATTATTTCGTCAATTACGCTAAGTATAAGAGCGCATCATTGATGAGAGCCGCCCTATGGTTATGGTTTTGCCGTGAAAAAGCTGCTGGTATGAAAATGGGATGATATGAACCTGAACCCACGCAAAATGCGAATTCGTCTCTAAGAAAACTGAAAAGCGGATTCCATACGGGAAGGTCTGAAGGGTGTGCTATTGATGCGACGCATGGCAGGAGTCGATGAACATCTTACAGACGACCCTTCGCTTTTGCGGGAGCTTCGTAGTGCACACTACTAAGACCACATCACCATGGTGACACACTTGCTCAGCAACGGCTGGAACGTACTGAAGGTGTCACCCACACGAGGGTACCGGAGACGTTCGCGAGGTTTCGGACGCCAGTGACAAACATTTGCTTTCCATTTCCCACCATCCTCACCGAATTCGTAACGCCTTTGACCTTAAACGCATTAGCTGGCTAGCTGTACTCACAGTTGGAACCTGTCGCAACCCTGACGTCCCTGAACACAAGGAGTCGCCATGATTTAACTCTTATTTCGTCAGCGGTTCAGGCTTTGAAAAACTGTGGTACAAATCAGGCATATGGCTAGCGGTCTAACGCGCTGCTTGGGAGAATAAAAAAAAGGGAAATCCAAAAAAAGAAAAAAGGTTATTTTACATCAAAGCATTGACACCATGTGACTGTAACTGCTCGCACCATAGGCGTGGTTCTTCGGGGTGGGCGGGGTCTGTGGGACTGTAATATCTCTTGGTGCCTGCTGTGACATGACAACTGCAGTCTGGTGTCCTCCACGATCTCATGCCTCAATGGCCACCCTTTGCGAACTGTCGCCTTGCATTTCAAACTTGCACAACAGATGTAAACAATGCACGATGCCGTAATTGTATTCAATGTAACGCCCTCTCGCAAGGAGCTCACTGTCCGGTTCGCATAAACACGTGCAGAAATCGAACACGATCTTGCAAAAGTGCTTTCAACAAAAAAGGTTAATACCATGTGCATGCAGCGACACATCACCATCACTGCAGTCGTTATCCATCCCGTGACGACAGCGGCAGCCGACAGTAGGTGGTGCAGTTAACCCTTGCAATGTTTTCCTCTGCACAGAACACAGCACCATCCTCTGCGACAGTCACCTCCCAATGTGGTGCATTGATCGGGGTAGCGACATTTTCTTTTGCATTCCCCTGAAATGAGAGAGTGATCGGTCTTCACAACTGGTGCATGGTGGACATTATTAAGTATATGATGTGTGACGCCAACGAATATTTTGTCAATTATCTTAAATATAAGAGTGTATCATTGATGGCAACTATCCTATGGTTTTGACGCCAAAACACATCTGACGTGATTATGTTATGATGTGAAAATGAACACAATCGAAAGGCAAATCGCTTCTTTAGCACGCGACAATGTGGCCGGTTAAACATCCTTTGCTCGGGTGAGGTCAGTTTGACCCCTTGCGATATCAAAAAGTATGAGAGCTGGAAACACTAACTTCACAGAGCGGGTTGCTTATATGTGAATTCACTTGTGTCAAAATTATGGATTCTTAGGTCCTGACTTCGGGGTCAAACGAGGTCAAACAAGATCAAGCTTCAGATTAGTATCCCCAGACCCTTTCATACATCCGCTGTGCATCTGGACAATTTAAGGTTAGTGACCTTGTCTGAACTTAATAGGGTCATGGTGGACGAAAATCCACAAGGCTGACCCCTTTTCCGACTGGAAAAGCATGAAAGTCTCCGCTGGGCAGAACGTTCCTAAGAACATAAAGTTAATCTTGATCATTTAAGGCCAGTGACCCAACCTGACCTTTAAAAGTCCCTGGATCATGTTTGTTGAAATCCCTATTTTTGCCAACTTCGAAATGAGCATCAGAAACAATCCCTTAAAGCAAGCCATCGAACATAAAACGCTAGTTTTGAACTCGGTCTGACATTTATACCTGACCTACTTCAATGGAAGTTGTTGTTTTCATAAATATAATTGGCTTATGACATAATAAACTATCTCAGAGATGTATGGCTTCATCAAACACTTCGCCGTCGCACAAAATGAAAGATTTTCTAGACATGGCCTTCGCTGAGAGCCATGGCCCGATTTTGACCTACAATAGGTCAGCTACTTTACAAGGTGCCGTACAAGGTACGTCTAATTCTCGCATAGCATTTACCTACGGCTATGCAACGTTGCGTGTGACTACGCCGCGCCGTTCGCAATCCATTAAAAAAAAAAACATCCGGGGCAACTTCACACACACCCGGGCGTATGTCAGAACTAAATAGCACATCTCGATAGGGAAGACCTTACATGTAACCTATCGATGTGGTGCATGACAACAGTTCATGAGCATGTTGCTAACGACTTGTAGTTTGGGCAGAAATTTCGTAGTCCATAGCGTCACACATCACCATAGCGACAACGTCTGCTCAGCACCAGGCGACAACGAATGGAACGTACTGTATGTGTCGCCCCGAAGACAGCAGAGACGCTTGTGAGGTTTCCAGCACCAGCGGCAGACATTTCTCTTCCATTTTCCGCACGCCTGGCCGAATTTGCGACACCTTCCACCTGCAATGCACCGGTTGGATACCTCTCTTTACGGTTGAAGCCTGCCACACTTTTGACGTGCTAGAACTCAAGGAGTCATTTAGCACGATACAATGCCTGTATGCACGACGGTCTGGAGTGCTGACAATTGAGGTACAAATCTGGCGCATGGATAGCGACCTAATGCGTTGCTGAAGGGAACCAAAGAGCTCTTTTACGATCAAAGCTTTGGTACCATACAATAGTGACTGCTCACAGGGAACACATGATTCTCTTGGGTTGGTTGAGGTGTGATTGCCCCCCTTATACCTCACGGACACATCTCTCGGTGGTCTGAATAGGATCGTCTTACCTTTTTGCATTTTTACTGATATCTAGATCAGACACGCCCGGTTTAATAAAAACAATAAGATTAATACGCCAGTTGATTTCGCACCATCCGGCTGGTACACATGCCGGGGGTGCCGGTACAGGACATCTTGGGGTGGTTCAACCGACCACAACGATTCTGCTCAATATAGCAGCTACTTCTATGAGCAGCAGCTTCGGACGGGGCATTTTAGCAGGTGGATAGTTTGCCAAGATGCGTATTCAGATCACAGTTTGCGGGACAGTTTGCTACAAAATAGTCCTATCATCAGCACACCACATTCACCTGACATAACATGGCAAAGAACGAAAAGTGGACCTAGAAAAGTGAGGCAGTGAGACCTAAAGCTGACAATTTTTCTTGTGCAGACGCCTAGACCATAGGTCATACAGAAGATATGACGGCGGGGCAGAAGGCCCACCAGCTATTTTTGGGGACATGCTGTCCCTGCCGTTCCCACCTACCAGTGGTATCTGCTTTGGCAACCATGGAAAGTCGGTGATGAAGGTGGAATTTGGCAATGCAGTATGATGGAATAACTTCCAATGAAGTATGCACTTCCATGGTTGTACCACACACGAACACTTGTACTTAGCTGCCCGAAGCACAAATATAATCATTACATTGAGTCCGTCCCAAGGGTCCATCACAGCGTGACTTTGAAATCTTCTTTGATGGTCACACACTCCCTTTAAAGCCCCTGAATGTCTTCATTTTTGGAGCAGGTTTTGCGACAGTTTTTCACCTTTACAGAACGAGGACCAAGAGCTCTTCGTGTGGTGCTGCGACGCCTCGGCTGACACAGAATATTTTCACGGTCTCCTTATGGACCTTTTTATTGTCATGTCTGTTAGACACTTCCATTGTTAAAGAGCAGCGACCAACACAGGAGGACTTTGCCAAGAGAAACACCGGAAACTCACCTTCAGTGGTCACCAACACCAGACAAAACACGACGATTAATGGTAGCAGACGCATGGTTGGTGAGAGACGACTCGACAGGATATGCCCATGCTGCCTTTGGTCGCTTTTTATACTAGCAAAAACGGACCATGAGGCGGAGGGGGCGTCAATCATCCCATCCCCTCCAAAGGTCAACAAACAAGCCTGTGATGTCTGGCGACATTTGCAACAACAAGGTGATATCATCAACCGCAACCTTTGTTTACGAACGTGCCAATGGTGCACGGAGTAGTGCTTAGTCACACAGGAAGGGCGTAGAGGACAATGCCGACATGGCCCATGCAACGCATTCGGGATGTATGTACATGGAACGTACTGACCGATTGTGATAAAGCGTTGCGTTACTCATCTCGTTGAATTAGAACGCTGCGAAGTGTTAATAGTCAAGTTACCGTCCTTACGCTTCTTTTATGAGACCTTGTAATGTCGACTACCGCGAACGCTTTTCACGGAAATATGTCCTATATAGCTTGGAGACCCAAATTAGCTTACGCGCTACTTGTATAACCGAACATACCGCAGAATTCAAGATGGCGGCCGCCACCATCCTGAGTGTGTGTCCGGTTTCAAAGTTGTTTTCTCTATGGATTGGAGTGTTGTTCAACACGATTTTTGAGATATTTCCTGCTGCAGGGAGTCCATTTCTGCAATTATTTGTCACAAATGGGGTCGAATTCAAGGCCAAGTCGAGGGTCAAAGGTCAAAGATGATCACGAAAAACGGCAGTCACCTCTATTGATTAATACATGTGCTGTGTCCTCATGTCCTCATTGTGAGGATGCCACTCACAGAAGCGGCATGTGTTCTATACGGCAATCATATTGACATATGCTACATGCATGACGCATGCACTATAGAATACGTTTTTTTCACCTGGTTGTGTACGTGCAGCCGAGTTATCATCTTCGTACTTCTTATATGAGACTGCAATGTCAACTACCGCGAACTTCGAACGAAAATCGGCAGCCGCAACAGGCAAAGTGCATGCCGCTGGCGCACAGACTGCTGCAAGTGTTAGGGAGAGATCGCATGCCATGAAACATATCATCACTTCCAGAGCCGTTGTTTATAGTCAGTTGTGTTACTGACCATTTGTTCACGTCACTTGATGTGAGCAGGAAAAAAGTGACGTAAGCAGGCTCAAATCATTGTTTATTTGTTCTGCAGTCTAAGCCCTGTACAACTAAGGCGATACAATCAATTCTTGGCGCTGAATTCATTCCTCACGGGATTACTTTGGATGTTAGAGCAGTCATGGTCTTTGATGTAACTCGGCCCTCCTCAAAGTTTATCTGTCAATCCTGCCGTGACGTCATCACGGGGCGCCGAGGGAACTGAAAGAATTGCAAACCCATAGGAAGGGTCTTTTTCAGAGGCAGCTTTTGGGCAGTTTGAAAAGATACAGACGGCTAAAATGCTTTCAGCATCCGGTAAATCGTGTCTTCTGTCGTACACCAAGCGTGCTCTTGCTCTTGTACACCAAGTTCAGTGCCTTAGTTTTGAATTTCACGGCATTTTGCATAGGCGTTGCGACATTACCCTGGGTGGCGCTACCTGTATCAATACTTACTTTACAGATGACGTTAGTGTTCTTCGCGGACATATGATATCCATCCAGTTTTCTCAAATGTTACATTTTGCTTCTTAAAGCGTTCTGCGCGTTGGAATGCAAGCCGTGCTTACCGGGTTTGAGATGCCTTAATGTCTTGTAGGCAAATGTCTTTCCATTATGTTGTTTGGCCACTGAGGCATATTCTGGACCCATTTCTCTGACTTCCTAGTGAAGATGTCACCTAACTTTCTGCCACTGTATTGGACAGCTACATTGCTGAACCAGCTAAGATTGACGTTAACTTGAAAATTTGACAGCTTTCTGGGCACGATTGGCGCTTTTAACGCTTGAAATTGGCTGAGTATTGAACGCGTGATACGGACATGGGACATTTTGAGCTCACCATCAATATTAGTGGACATGTTCGTGCAAGAATATCTCGAATATCAAGAATATCAAGAATATCAAGAATATAAAGAGATGTAAGTCCATATGCAGAAAGATTACAACACTGAGCAAACTAATAATTTTAGGGCATATGTTCCGCATATATAGAATACCAATATGATGCAGAGATACAACACAACACCAGATCATGATACCTTTACAAAATGCCGCGCGCTGAGGAAGCAGCTACCAAAAGCGTCGTAGCAGTGTACAAGCAAGACGTCATGTATGCTGTCCACATCGAGACACAGAGAGATGCGTAGCTTTAGCGTAGCTTTTGCATGTAGCTTTTGCGTCCAGGCCAACTAATGACAGCACGTTGTAATCAGAAAGGCAACATCCGCCCTATATCCAACAGAATCACACATCCCAAAAACGCGCTCACCAGTTCCAGGAAGCGTGCCGGAATGTGGAACCCGATCAACCCCCGCCCCCCCCCCCCCCCCCCAGCCTCCATCCAGAACAGTGAGAACCTGGGCCGATCGGCGCGAAACTGACACTGCTGGCCAAATGGGCATACATTAATATTTCAGTGGCGGCGCTTATTTTGAGGCACTATGATGCCAGCTAGCTAAATTGGGAGCCCACTAGAGCCCTTTTCAAAATAATTTCATTTCCAGATGGTGATAAAACGCCGTTTCTTACACGATACATATCAGATGGATGTTATGGCCTGCACTCATCCAGACATTACCGCCGTTATATGCGCTGTTTTTCATGACATAATGCATATTCATGGAAATAGCTTAGTAGCATTTTTATTTTTTATCTACCCCATGCAAAACATGGCATGGCGTCGCGCCGAGGACTTGGGCTCTTCAACATATCTGACCCAGCCTAAGCCCAGTTTTGGGACGCCTGTCAAACTAGTAGCAGTTTTATATCAAGCTGTACATAGATATTCAGGACTTTCACAATCTGGCTAGAAATCGATAGACTAATAACGTTAAGTCTACGCGTTTCAAAACCTGAACAGGTAAGGTGGGCACGCGCAACTGCACAAAATATTTTAGGCTTAGGTTCTAGGTCAATTAGAGCAGACCGTTGCGATGGAGCTTATAAAGTGTACCCGTAAACCAGTGCCTAAGTCTTTTAAAGCGTTAAGTTTGAGCATATTATATTGTGCGAAGTTTTTCGTGCCCAACTTAGCTTTTCGTGGTTCGAGATGCATGGGCTAAGCTTAGACAGGCGTAGTTTAGGCTAGCTTGATAGGTGTAGTTTTGGGTTAAAAATATTGCCTAGGGCCAAGATTTGACCAGCATCTTGTCCACTTATTTGCGTGTATCAGTGGGCAGGGTGTGCCATTCATGCATCTGAACGCCAGTTGAGAGCTAAACCCTCGCGCTGACTCGCTGTTTTTCATAACACGAACACTGATGGCAGGGTGGGGGGGGGGGGGGGGGGGTGGGGGGCCGTTGCCTGTCAAACGGAAGCACCCGTGAATAAAACAGTACAGATGCAAAGAAATGCCCAAATTTTCCAGGCAACAATTAGGGACCATGAAAAACTCACATTTTTACGCTTTCCTACGATTTTCTTCAAGGTTGGCTCAAGGATCTGGAGGTCGTGCTCAGAAGGCCAAGGTCCAGACCTGGGAAGCTCGGGAAGCCGAGACACAAAAGGTCGATGCTGAAATATTCGGGGCCAAGGTGGCCTACGTCCAGGTGTTCGAGGCCCTTCCGGCCGATACATTGTCAAAGTTCTGGTACAATGTCAAAGTTAAGAGAGTTTGGATTAGAGAAATCAATGCTCGGAATGTCGCGGTTCAGGAGATCGAGGGGCTGGCGATCGCCGCAGAAAACGTCCATGTTCTGAGTTCTGCAGTTTTCAATGTTTTCCATTTCGACGAATTACATGTATCGAATTCCAAAACCTTAAGCGAGAAAGGAGTCTGTGCCTGGACCGGTCGATCTATGTGACGCTGATATGGGCATTTTGTCAACCTGAAAATGACCTACTTTGTACCTGAGGGCGTCGAGAACACGTTTGTCAGATGACCAGGTGTCGTTCGCACCGCAGCCACAATACCCATGCTTTACGGACCGGCGCCGATGCCTTTTGAGTTGGCAAAACAGATGCTACCAAATAGATGGTTCCGTAATTGTATTCAACGTACAGCCCAACTACAAACAGCTAAACGTCCGGTTCGCATAAACGCCTGTTGAGAATTACGTGCGACCTTGCTGTTATGCCACCAGCATAGCATGGGTCTTCCTTGTACATGCAGTCACTTCACATCTGGCGTCAGTGCAGTCGTTATCCATCCCTTGACGACAGCGGCAGCCGGCAGCAAGTGGTGCAGCTAGCCCGTCCAGCAATGTTTTCCTTTGCAGTATACGCAGCACCATCCTTTGTGACAAGTTGCCGTTTAATGTGCTGCAGGTATTTGGGAAACTGCATTTTCTCCCGCAGTCACCTGAAATTAGAGAACGGTCGCTTGCAGGGATTTGTGGATGTTGAATCCTCTGCAGCACGTTGATGTAGCTTCGACGAACATAACGTCAGCCAATTTGAATGTAGAAGCGTGCAATTTATGACAACCATCCCATGACTAAAAAATCGCCTGCTAACATGAGCAAATGCAATGCTCGAAATGCATACTGCATCTCTAAGAAACCTGAAGAGCGCACTTCATGAGAGAAAGCCTGATGGGCGAGCGATCGACGCCATGTATGACATGAGTTGATAAGCATCTCGACAGTCAACCTCCGCTTTAGCTGGGGTTTCGCGTAGCACAAATCCACAGTGGTTCAGAAATGCAACACTATTAGAAATAGTCTTCGCTGAGAGTCACGGCCTGATGTTGGCCTGCAATAGGTCAGTGACCTTGCAAAGTACGCCTAATTCTTGCATAGCAAAAGATCCAGCCTTTAAATGTTTACAGCTATGCAAAGTTCTGTGTGACCACGCCGCGCCGTTCGCAATCCATTTTGAAAAAAAAAAACATCCGGGGCAACTTCACACACACCCGAGCTTATGTTAGAACTAAACAGCACATCTCGTAAGGGAAGACCTTACTTGTAAGCTATCGATGTGATGCATGACAACAGTTTATGAACA